CGGCGCGGTGCCGGTGGACGGGGTGACTCTCTTCACCTCAAGCCGGGACCGGATGACTTCTGTTGCTTCCTACGTCTACAACGGCTACAGCGTGGTGTTCGTGGGGAGCAAGACTGGCAAGCTGAAGAAGGTAAGCTTATTTCTGTGGCTTCGGAGAACCGGCATCCATTTCTCATCTCTCTCAGGAGACCGATGCATGTAGCTGCTGCTTTGTCTTATGGATGTTTCCCAGCATGAAACTGGGAACCAGTCAGGAGCAAAAACCACAGGGTTCAGGCAACAAGAGCCTTGTGTTGGTGAGAGAAGGTTCATCCATCAGTGCTGGCAGCACAGAGTGGTGTTGCTGCGGTTTCTTTTGAAGCGAAGAAATGCCAAGCCTTGGGGAAGCTGCCGTGGAAACGGCTGCAGCCCGGTCCTGGAGAAGGGACCACGCGAGGCCCCGCAGTTCCCGTTGCCCTGTGGCGATACAGCTCCAGCGCATCCCCTGGCATGGGCTGAGGGCACCTTCCCGTGCTTCCAGCCAGCGCCTGCCTTCAGCAGCAGGCGGTAGGGGCCTCCGCACCGTGCCGGCCCTTGCAGGCGTTCCCTGCCCGGGTGTTGCGGCGTTGGGCTGTTGTTTGGGTTTTTTTTGCATTTTATCACTGGGTGAGCTGTGGTGTGTGAGTGTGTGTGGGGCTGATGCAGAAATTGAGGGCAATAATGGGCCAGTCTGATTTGAGGCAAACGAGGAGCTGGCTTGCAATTTTGGAGTACGAGTGGACATCAGCGAGCTGTATCTGAGGTCTCGGATCTTTTCTCCACTTTGACACATGGATTGAAATATTGCGATAGTTTTGAAATATTGCGATAGTTTTGAAATATTGCGATAGTTTTGAAATATTGCGATAGTTTTGAAATATTGCGATAGTTTTGAAATATTGCGATAGTTTTGAGTTGTTTCCCAGCAATCCTTCAGCAACTTGGGTAGAAGACTGAGTTAGAAAGCTTTTGGTAATGGCAAAATTGCTGATGGCGGCAGGATATTTCATTGCGGAGAGACAGGAACGGGTTAAGTTGGCTGCTTTTGGAAATCCAGCCCCAGGGCAGAGCCCCACTGCTTCTCTCTGCCTCTTACCTCCTGCTCTTCCCTCTGACAGCTGGGTGATGGATCAGGCCTGGAAGATAACATTCCTCACCCTCTGGTTGCCCAGGGCAGAGAGGTGCTCCCGCTGGTTTCCTCCCCCAGCGCGGGAGGTGGGCGAGCTCTGGTGGGCTTCGGGGTTTTGAAGTCGAACGGCGATTTCCCCGCTGAGAGTCCTCTGAGCCGCCCTGCAGGGGCCCCCTGCCATACCTCTGCTGTGTGGTCCTCGCTGGTCCTCTCTCGGGAGTGCCGTGCTTAAAATCGGTGTGAAGATGGCCTTGGGGGGGTGTAAGTGGAGGGGATCCCCCCCGCTGGTGGTCTCTGGGGCTGGAGCTGGAAACGGCAGGCCACCC